ATTTTCAGGGGCTCATTGAGGTAGATCTTTTAATAAAACAAAGTATCCTTTCAAATAATGCACAATTATGGAATTCATATCTACAAAATATAATAATGAATTTTAATTAAGAAATTTTAAAGAGGGTTAGCAATAGGAAAGTATTAATGAATAACAGTCCGGGTGAGTATATATCACCACAAATATCAAAGTCAATTTGCTTAAGTCACAGTATGATGGTTAAAGTGCTGGTCTAGGAGAGGGAGATCAAGATTTTAGTCTCCCCCTTAGTCCCAGAAGCCAGCTTGGTTACTTTGGATCAGTCTCTCCTTATCAGCCATAATTGGCATCAGGCTGTGTGACAAGAAAAATGGTAAACAAAATTCCTCATTACATCATACATTGGTAGCTTCACCGTAAGAATTAGAATAAACATAAAGGTTTCCCTGTCCAGTCACGTCCAATTCTTGAGTATGGTACTCATCTCTGTTTCTTGGCCAAGGAAGCCAGCATTGTCCAAAGACATTTTCCATGGTCATCTGGCCAGCATGGCTATATGGCAAAGGTGCATGGAATGCTGTTACCTTCCCCCCGAAGGTCTACCCATTTATCTACTAACATTTGCATCAGAGGTGGGTTGCTCCCAGTTTGGCCCAGTTCGGGCAAACCGGTAGTGGCAGCAATGGGAGGCGCCGCCTACCGTCCGGACACTTCTACGCATATGCAGAAGTGTCACACGCGTGCGCAAGCACAAGCAAATCAGTAGCACCGGGATTTGCAACCTACATCTGATTTGCATATTTTTGAACTTCTAGGTGGACAGGAATGGGAACTCACTCCTGTTGCGTGACACTCGGGTCTTGAACTTGGGCTGTCAACTTCCCTACTGACAAGTTCAGTGTCTTTAATTATTGAACCATCACTCTCCCTGTTATAATTAGAATACCATAGTGCAAAAACAAGGGGATCCTGCAGTATGCGGGACAAACACTAAGAACAAAAAATATCAAAAGCAATATGCTTCTCAGTATTAGCTGATTAGTTGACACAATAAGGATTGAGATTCCACTAGCTACTGTTTTGCTTGAAGGTTTCCATAGATATCTGATTTGATGCTGTTAGAACTAGACATTTTTCATTTGTGAATTTTTAAATCAGTTCATTCAATC